CCATATATAGACTTTCACTTAATCCCTCTATTTTCTGTCATCTTCCTCACACCACCCTCTATTATGCCTGATGTTCTCAGTGTCCTGAGTGTGTCTGATCCAGTGTCTTCAGAGAATACATCTCTTGTTTCCTGGGAGCAAAAGGAGTAGACCGAACAATTACCTGGCTAGCTGCATGAGATGAAGGAAACGTGGGAGCTTGCTCTTCCATAGATATTCACTTCCTTTTTTCCTGTATCCTAACTCTAACGTTTGCGGTCCTCGGTATTTCTAAGTCCTAAGCCTTCCCAGGATTCTTTGGGAGCTAATTGGCTCACTTTTCATTGCCCCTTTTTTCTACAGGCATTTATGTTATAGCTTCCTTCATTCTTCTAAATTGATACACATTTCTCCATTCACCTTCTCATCTTCAAAAAATTTGTCAACAGTTCTCATCCACTAAGGTCTACTTTCCTATCTTTTTAGTCTGTATGGACTTATACCTCTCTCTCTTCTCTCTTTTTTCTCTCGTTCTTTTTGTTTTGTCTTAATTCCTTTACTGTTGTTTTAATGTGGTGTCAGGAGAGAAATAATTACATGTGGTCATTCTGCCATATTTAACCAGAAGTCAGGCTGTGGAAGGATTTTTAAAATGTAGTTTTCTTTACCTCATGTTAAACTAAACATGGCCTTAAAATATGCCCTTGATCTTCTAAATAAAAATAGCTTAGTACTTGGATAGGTGGCATGCTTTCACTACCAAATTTTAAAGTCAAACTTGAATGTTGATGGAAATTAAAATGTGTTTAGCACTTTCTGACACTGAGCATAGTAAATAATGAATCAATCAATAAAAAAAGGGGGAAGATGCTATAATGGATATTCTCAGTTTCCCACTTCAGATCTTCTCTTTTCCCATTTTTACCGTGTTCCGGGCCCCTGGAGACTGACTTCTACAGACTGCATCACCCAGGCTCCCTTGTCCTCTGGCTTCCAGTGGGTTTGGCCACTGGGAGGTATTGGTGGAAGAAGGAGGAAGATCAGAGAGTTGGGAGGAAAGAGAGGTCTGGGTATTTATTTCTCTAGCTTCCTCTCAGCCAGGTCACATTTGACTATGATTGTGTTCTCCTTCTTTGTGCCACACTTTCTGTTGGCTTGTCCCTTTCTGATAGCCTCAGCTTTTACCAGGTTCTGCTCTCCTCACTACTTCGGGTCTAAGGATGCTAACAGCTTCTCCCTGTTGCACTGTCCCTTATTGGTACCCTTCACCCTGCCCACACCTTCAGTTGTACCTTTGGAATGTGCTCTGTTTCCTGCCAGGACCCTGGCTGCTACAAATGCTATAGTAGAGTTATTTCATCACCATCTGGGTACTTTTGGACAAAGTGCTTCACTCGATGGGCCAGAGTTTCTATATCTGAAAAGTGCTGAGGTGGCAAAGGGTGGTCTCGTCTCTTGTCTGAGAGCCCCTTCCATTTCTGCCATCTGCACTTCTAGATGATAAGGCAGTGGTCAGTTGCCAGCTCTAGCTCTGGTTCTCTCCTTCTGACTCTGTGGACCACTGTGGATAATTCTGAGTGGTGGACCATCATACATTTTTTTTCTTCCTTTATGAGGCAATTTGCTAGAGCAAAAAGAGTACAGACTTTGGAATCAGACCAGAGTTCAAATTCAGGCTCTGCCACTTTCTTACTGAGTAAACTTGAGTACATGAGTAAACCTCTCTAAGTCTCAGGTTCTTCATCTTAAGATCAGAGTATATGATGGATAGTATTAGCTACCTACTCAATAGCCAATTCCTTCTTCTTTGCTAAAAGAATACTGGCTTTCATTAGGTATGGAGTTGAACTTTAGGTGTTTTGATACTTGTACCTTGTGGCAGACATTGCTCGTGTTTCCTGACATCTGCTTTTCTCCTCTGGGAACATGAAAGACTAACTTCCAAGCCTTCTTATAGTTAGGTGTGGCTGTGTCATCAAGTCTGGTCAATGAGCTGAGAGAAAATTGCCTGTGTCACTTCTGCGCTGGAGCCTTCATCAGTCGGGGCCCCTGAGCAACTGTGTGGAGCATAGACTTTCATCAACTTTGCCGTGAACATGTACCATGAGTGAGAAGTAAACTGTTGTAGTGTTCAGCCAATAGTGTTTTTAATTGATTTTTCAATTATAGTTGACATAACAGTAATTTCAATTACTGTTAGTTTCAGATGTACAACAAACGATTAGACACTTATATAACTTATGAGGTGATCACCTTGATAAGTCTAGTACCCATCTGATGCCAAGCCAATGGAGTTTCGAAGTTAATTTGTCTGTTAATCCACAGCTGAAAGCATCCCTGTGGGCATAGATGTGATTTCCCTTGAAGGACTGTATGGAGCAGACTTTCTTGATTTGATTCCTAGCTCTGTTATTTATTAACTTGTATGACCTTGGTCAAGTTACTTAACTTTTCTGTGTCTTGGTTTCCTCGTCTGTAGTGCAAGGTTAATAATGCCTCTTCTCTCATGGAGTCTGAACGACTATTGAAGTTAATATATGTGAAGCTCTTAGAACAGGGCCTGGCAGGCGTGCACTTACGTGCTGTTCAGTGTTTGTTTTCAAAGAGAATGTATTTGAGAGTGTCCTGCACAGTGCGTGGCTCTCATCAACACTGTTGCTGGTGTCTTTATTGCTGTTGTAAGGATTAAAATGATCCATGTAAAGTCTTGGCACATAGTGGGCATTTAATATGAGCTTCTGATTATTTGGCAGTTGTGCTTTTGTACTTACGTCTGGATAGATGCCCCTCATCTGTTAGTTCTCTTAGAAGGATACAAGCATTGCTCTTTAAGACTTCCTTTACAACGTTGCAGGTAGCTAAGTGTTTAGATTTCAAAGGACATTTGTGAATATCAAGTAAAGAAGACATTGAAATGGCAGCAAAGCCTTTACTAAGCAGAGAAGGTACTAATTGGAAGGGATGCTATCCATAAGTAGGCAAAATGACCCACAGAGAAGCTACACTCATGAGAATCCAGTTTTGGATAATCACTATTCAACCGCATTTGTCATTTAGAGTCCTTAAACACTGTCTCTCCATGCTCTTCATTTTGCAGATGAGGGAACGTAAGCCCAGAGAGTGGGAGGGGCTGGTGTGGGATAACACAGTCAACGGCATAGGCAGGACTAGAGCCAGGTTTCTTGACTCCAAGTTCACTGCTAGGTAGAAAAAGCCAGGTTTGGTCTTTTAACATTTGTACCATTTGGAAACATGCTGAGCAGCCAAAACCCTGGACTTGATGAGAAAATTGAAGTAATTCTGCTTTCCACTCTGCCCTTTGCACAGCTAGCTCATCATCTGTTTTGTTGGTACTGGTTAGCTCATGCCTTTGAATATATCAGAAGTGGCTTGATTTTCTCTACTTTGATACATCGGTTTCTTCATCGGCTGCAGGAGTGTCCTGTGCATTCTGGCTTTTGGATGGGCTGCCCAGAATCACCACGGACTTTGCTTCTTAGCCAACTAGAGGAAGGCAGACATGAAAGAGGTCTGCCAGTGTGTTTCCTTTGTGTGAGTTTCCTTGGACACAAACACAGGAGGGAAGTTTATATGGAGCAGCTAGTCTCCCCCCATTTTGTATTTTGCTGAGGCAGGTAGTTGAACTTTTTGAGGAAATCTGGGTTTTCTCTGTCTCGGGAAATTACTGATAACATCAGAGCCAGAAGGAGGTGAGTAAAATGGAAAAGAAAATTCATAAGAGTCACGCCAAGATTCAGATTTCTAACCCCACCCAGTTCTTCCCCAGTTCTCCTTTCAGCTGTGACTTGCTTCCCAGGAAGGAGAAAACAATAGTCTACTGATTGAATTTCTGTCTAAACTTCAGGCAATTAAAGGTGAGGGAAGTAAAACCTAGTTACATTTAGAATCAGAGTCCATCCATCTCCACTGGGAGGCATAGTCTGTGTGTCGTTTGCAAGAGGGGTCTGGTTCTGAAGCCAAACTTGGAAGTGCATTCATTGTGATAATTATTCTCTTGCTTAAAGTTTCTAGCTGGTCTTTCCAGGAAAGTGCAGAGGTCTTATAATGAAGAGAAGAAAAAACATTCTAATTGTAACTTGGCTGGGCCCGTATCATGAGAACTGGAAAAACCTGAGATCTTGGGATAAAGGGAAAGCCACTGAACAGCTGGGATTTATGGTAGGGAACATGGGGTAAAGACTCAGTGGTTCCTTTCTGACACGCCTACCACCCGGAGAAATTAGGTGTCTACTCTGCTCAGTTTCCAAGAGCAGGTACCATGTTATTTAGAAAAGTATACTCACCTCTCCAGAGTTAATAAAGGGTCCCAGGCCACCTGGAAAAAAATGACTAGAAAGCCTAACTGGCACTTGCAAGTCATCTTTGTCTTTCTCTGCTAGCCCTTCCTCCTATTCTTCTCTCTAGCGCTCATTCCTTTAGTCAGTGAATACGTACTAGAGGTCAAATTAGCTATGTGCGTGACACAGTGCCAGCACCTCGAGTATAATGGTGACTAAAACAGTGTTCTCGTTAAGTTTTGCTATGTAATAAACCACCCTCAGAACTTACTGGTTTGATGCAACACCATTTTACAATATTCTGTAATTCAGGAATCCAGGCAGCGCTCAGCTAGTGACTCTCATTACCAACAGAAATCATTCAGAGAGATTCAGCTGGAGGATGGACTGGTCTGGTGAACCCAGCACATGGGCTTCCACTGCACAGGATACGATTTCTAGATCCCACGTTCTAAGAACAAAAAGTGCATTGTCTTTGGAATCAGACATAACTGGTCTTGAAGGGACTCTTGTACTTTCTAGTTTTATCCCTCTGAGCCTTATTTTGTCATCTATAAAAATGGGGATAACAATCATGACCTGATAGAGTCGTTTTAAGTGCAGTGCCTACCAAGAAATTGCTGAGAAAATGGTAGTTCCCAGCATGTTCCATCACAGTGTATTGACTTTTGTATTCAAAGCACACAGTACTGATGCCTTTCCCTTTACTGTCATTTACTTTAGGGTGTTTTCCTAGATGGTGATCGTGATTTGCTTCTAGAGCTGATCTTGACCACACTGTTACTGGAGCTTCTGGACTCTGGTCACATGCCATGTCTCTGTCACTCAGAGGAGATTGTCATCATATAGGTTGTAAGTAGCTATCACGATTTAAATGCCCGTTGTTACAATAGAGTTTTAGAAAAAGTTATCAGAACTTTTGCAAGAACATATGCTTAATGTGCACTAAGGGACCCAATTAGCAGAGCAGCCTATATTAGTCAGGGCTCTCCAGAGAAACCGAGCCAATAGGAGAAGTTCCATGATCTGCCATCTGCAAGCTGGAGACCTGGTAATGCCAGTGGTGTAGTCTGAGGGCCTGAGAACCAGGAGCTCCAAAGGCAGGAGAAGATTGACATCCCTGCTCCGTCACACAGAGGGAGATCAAATTCAACCCTCCTCAGCCTTTTCGTTCTATTCAGTGGTTTAGATGACCCCACCCATATTGGGGTGGGCCATCTGCTTTACTCTGTGAATTCAAATACTAATCTCTTCCAGAAACACCCTCACAGACACACCCAGAAATAATGTTTAATCCCATATCTGGTCATCTGATGGCCCAGTCAAGTTGACACATAAAATTAACCATCACACTGCCAGAAAACCCAGTTTGTTCTCTGTCTCTTAGTCAGTGAATACGTACTAGAGATCAAATTAGCTATGTGCTAATTTGCTATCTTCTGTCCAGCCAGGTATTTTCAGTTGCACCTATAGTCATCCAGATCAGCCTTGCTTGGAATTAATGGGCAGCAAAGTAGAATGAGAATTCATATAGATACCTGCAATTTGGGCAGCACTACCCTCAGGGTCAGGGTCAACATCAACGTGCCTTGCTTTGTTTGCTTAAGTTGGGACAGCCATGCTGGTCTTCTGGCCCCTGAGTATCTTGTGCTGTTCCTTCAACATTTTCACTATTCACAGTTGCTGACTTGTCTGCTTTTTATATGATTTTTTTTTGTATAATAAGATATACGTGATAAAATGCAAATAAAATAAGTATTCAGTGAAATGTAAGCCTCCCCTCTCCTAGACGATCCTGTGTTCCCTAGTTCCCTCCTCCAGAGGCAACTGCTACAGCCATCTTCCCGGGGACCCCCCCCAGAGTGAGTCTGTACACACATCAGCATAAATGGAGACATTTGCCTGGTCTCAGGGCTTCCCCGCTAGCTTTGCCCACCAGTTTGCGTGACCTTTTGTTTTCTGTTCATTTCTCTGGAACCAGCCCTCTCCACTACCCTGTTTTAGCTTCATCGCTCTCTACTTCTCACCTGCTCTCAGCCTGCTGCCCTGACCTGGTAAGACCCTAATCTGGAACAGGAAGATGTAGAATTCATCATTTAGAAAGATGAAAGCATTTCTAGTTTCTATTTCCATTCTATATTGTCTAACCGTGCAAAATCAAATTACTCCTGTTCGTCTGCTACTGACTCCCTGTGTTCCATGAGCAAGCCATTTGCATTTTTCTTTACAACAACATCTTTTTCTTCAGGATGCTGTGGCAACTAATGTTTTAAAATTCTCAGAAAAAGTCATAATAATAAAACCTTTCCATTCTAAGCATCTAAAAATCGAATTGAGACCAAAGCAGAGAGAAGTATTATTAAAGAAGCTAAATAGTTTACAAACTCAGCAGTGCCACATTGAAGATTAAATCTAAAAGACTGGAATTCATTTAGGGCACATTTGCATTCTATGTCTGCAGATGTGGCCACATACACAGTTCACCAAATGCATCACCACAGAATAAGATGTGTTGAGGTATTTAGAAAATGGTAGCATCACACAGATAAAGGAGCAACTCTTTCTATCTGAGGAGGTGATAAAAACCTACAGAACCTTGTGCTGGACTCTGGAGGCCAAATGGGAAGTTTTCAGGGGGACAAAAGGGGTACGGGCTCTCTAAGCAGTGGGGAAAATAGCCGAATTGCAAGTGTGCCCTGGGGTATTCTGGCAATGGTGAGCAGTCTATTTTGACTAAAGCTAATAGTGTGTAGCTGGAAAGATGGGCTAAAAACAGGCTTCGAAAGACATATTCCATGCTAAGAATTTTTTTTTTTCTATGAAATGATAGGAGGGCCCTGGAGAGTTTTAAGAATGAAAGTGATATTACTAACTTTTTATTTTAGATTCTTTTGGCAGCAAGTTGGAAATTGGATGGAGGGAGAGAGATAGAAGCTGGGATACCAGTCATCAAATGTTTCATTAGTCCCAAGTGAGAAAGAATGGAGCCTTGAACTAGGTCAGGGACAGTGGGGATAGAGAGCAGGGGTAAATTTAGATGACCTGTCTGACTTCTGACTATTTGGGGTAGGTGTGAAGGGCAAGAGGAGGAAATGAAAGGATGGCGGAGAGGGAGCGGGACTGGAAATGAGCCTGTCAAATTTAAGAGAGTTGGAAAGGGACTGAAAGATCAGCTAGCCTAAGCTAAGTACCTTTGGTTGCATCGCTACGGGTAGTAGTCTAGCCTCTTCCTTGAATACCTTCAGTGACAGAGTGCTCTTTGTATCTCAAGACAGCTTACTTCATCTTCAGGTTGCTCCATTAGAAAGTTCTTCAGGCTGCACCAAAATCCATCACTAGTATCTTCTGCTCCTTGGTCCTAGATTAAACTCCTTTGGGCCACTCAGGCCAGGTCAAATCTTTTGCCAGTGTGAAAGCTCTTCACATGCTTAAAAGCAGCTTTCATATGCTGCTGTATCTTCTCTTGTCTAGAGTAAGTGTTTAAAGTTCCTTCAGCTAGTCATCAGATGACATTGTTTTCCACCCACAAAAGGCACAAAAGGCTTCCTGTGGAGTAAATTGTGTCAATTTCTTGTGACTTTTTATGGGTCTAGATAAGCTCTGGACTGGTGAAGTTATGAAAGGAACCTCAAATTAAAAGTGACTTGGACCCCAATAAACTTAATTTAAAAAATTAAATTGATTTTTTTAAAGTGACTTGGTAAGGAAAGCGTATGGAAGTATTTGAGAATGAGGTAATAATAAAGGCCAGTCTAGTAACACAATTTTAGAAGTTTAAGCCTTGAATCAGTTAGGGCTGGTAGTGATACCATTAACACGGCTATCACCATGATCTGCAGAGTGAAAATGTTAGGAAACCACAGGCTCTGGGGTAGGAGAGGCCTTTCAAAATCAGCTGGTCCAGCTCCATCATTTTACAGATGGGAAGATTGAGGTTCGACGAGGCAAGAGACATGCCCAGTGTCCCACAGCTAGTAAGTGGCAGAGCAAAGACCAACCTAGGTCTTCTGATTCCTTAACTTGGGACACAAGCAAGAGCCAGCTAATAAAGGACACCCTTTTACCACCTTCTTTCTAATTACTGTCAACAATGTATATTTCACTCTGAAATATATTTCAAATAATATGGAATTATATGAGAAAGTTTTAAGATTCTTGAACTGCTCTCTAGAGCATCGCTGCCACACTCACCAAAGACTTAGCAGCTCATGCCATTTTGAGTCTTGGATTGATGTGAATATCAGTGAGGATAAGTCTCCATTTATTTCAAACAAGTTGTACACTTAGTGTTTTAATAACATAAGAATGTTGATAAGGCATTTAAAAGTAGGCATGGATATATTGGCCAATAATGCATATTATTGTGTGATGAAACACTGATGCCATGTAATGATAATATTGCCACATTGGTATAAATAGAAATTCAAAACGGCAGAATTCCTCCTGACATGTGAGCAGTGTGCATGCGTTTTCAAGTTTGGAAATGGGGAGATGTTGCTAAGATTCTGGGTTTCGGAGACATGGCATGCACTCTGAAGGTACGCTCCATAGATATTTTTTTATCTGATAAAAATAGAGAGGGCCAATGTCCAGATTTCATATTCTCCCAAAGGGTCAGAATTGCACACCTCCCACGACTCTAGGTCCCTCTCAAGCTGAGGGCTTGCAGGTGGGAACTAGTAACTGAGATGAGCCAGTGGCTTTGTGTGCAGGTGACCCAAGCCTGGTTCTGTCTCTGTGAAGGACTTTCAGAAACATGCAAGGACTTAGCAGTGTGACCAAATGAAAGTCTTCAAGCTTAAAGGCAGAGTTACTTATCATAGTTGTGACTGCCAGCTCAGACTTAATGAATGTACCACAGGATATAAGTACTACAGTCCCTTTACCAGAAACCAGTGCATGTTAGGTGACCAGGGGTGTGACACACTCCAAAACGTTCAGAGAATAGAGGGACAATTGCGTGACCATGATTCTGTCAGGGATGTGCTATAGTCTGCTATCAGAACTTTTTTTTTTCTTTTTGAATATAGAGATCTCCTACAGCTATTATATTTATTTTTTATTAATGTATAATTGACATACAGTATTATATTAGTTTCAGGTGTGCAACAGAGTGATTCAGCATTTGTATACATTGTGAAATGGTCACCACAACAAGTCTAGTTACCGTCTGGCTCCTTGCAAAGTTAACACAATATTATTAACTATACTCCCCATGGCGTACATTACTTATTTATTTTATAAATAAATGATGCATTTATTTTATAGCTGGAAGTTTGTACTTCTTTGTCCCCTTCACCCATTTTGTCCCCCTCCCAACCACACTCCCCCATGGCAACCAGAAATCTGTTCTTTGTATCTATGAGTCTGGATTTGGTTTTGTTTTGTTTGTTTTGTTTTGTTTTGTTTTTTAGATTCCACATCTAAGTGAAATCATGTGGTATTTATCTATCTCTGTCTGATTTATTTCACTTAGCATAATGCCCTCAGGGTCCATTTATGTTGTTGTAAGTGGTAGGATTTCTTTCTTTTTTTGTGTCTGAGTAGTATTCCATTGTGTGTGTGTGTGTGTGTGTGTGTGTGTCTGTGTGTGTGTATCACATTTTTATCTACTCATCCATTGGTAGATACTTAGGTTGCTTCCATATCTTGGCTATTGTAAATAATGCTGCAGTAAACATAGGGATGCACATACCCTTTAGTGTTGCTTTATCTTCAGATAGAAAACAGTAGTGGAATTGCTGGATCATATAGTAGCTCTATTTTTTATTTATTAAGGAACCTCCATACTGTTTTCCATAGCGGCTGCACCAATTTACAATTCTACCAACAGTGCACGAGAGTACCTTTTCCCCACATCATCGCCAACACTTATTATTTTTTTGTTGTTTTGATAATAGCCATTCTGACAGGTGTAGGAGGATCTGAATAGACATTTTTCCAAAGAGGATGCCCAACAGACACATGAAAAGATGCTCATCATCACTAATCATCAGAGAAATGCAAATCAAAAGTACAATGAGGATGGCTTTCAGAACTTCTCTACAAGGAATTACCATTACCAATTTGTTTAAAAATCCATGGAACAATCTCAGTAGGTGTATATGAATGATTTATTTTGAAAAGTCCATTTAAACTCAGATATAGGTCGTATTTTGAAAAGTCCATTTAAACTCAGATATAGATCATATTTTCCAAAAAACACGCACCCATAAAACATAGCAAATTTGAAGAGAAAATTAACGTTTGAGAGAAAGGAGTATAGAAAACCTGCTAAGTGCCCTTTAAAAACATGGGCCTACGTCTGTATTCCAATCCTATAAGTTAGCCTACCATTACTCATCTATGCCGTAATTTATACAATATTGATTTTATTGTCCCACTTTTGGAAACACTCTGTTATGTATATTTATGATGACTCATAAATGTTCAAAATAACATCTGGAGACCAAGTCACTCTTCAGAGTCAGGGAAATAGAGGGCCGTGAAGAGAGATTAGAGCCCATAACCGGGCCAGTATGTAGACCTGAGAAACCTGCTCCAGAGAAGTTCTCTTGAAAAGCAAATAAAGGAAGCCCTCAAATAATAGGAGTTCAAAATGAAAATTTAAAGATGGAAAGTTGTGGAGCCCGAAGTGATGAATCCATTTGAAAGCCCTCATTTTGTCTTGTCCAGGAATCTTCAAATGGTATGTTTGTAAAAGGAATTGATACTCAAGCATTCAGCTGTACTAGGCATCAAAATTCTCTGGTTGAGCAAATTGCAGCTTTGGCATATTAGCACTTCCTGAACACATAACTCCCAGTTACAGATCTCAGACCTGGAGCTGCTTACGTCATCAAGTCAATACCCTGGGACTCACGACTCCAGTTGTATTGGTGCGAGTTGGGGAGTCAATGTTATTGTCTCACCCGGAGTAGCTAAAGGTCTTTACTCCTGGAAGGGGTTAGGAGAGAAATTGACTGCTTTGCTCCCATTTACCTCATCTTGCATTAGAAACAAAGCACAAAGTTGGCTGGGATCAGTGTTAGCATTGCCCACAGCTGCTGAACTCTGATTTAACCAGATGCCATAACTATAGCAACAGGGAAATATTGGAATTTTGAGATTAACATGCTACTGAAATTTACTAAATATAGCACACTTTGTGGTGGGGTGCATATTGTAGGTATTTCCTTTATTTTTCAAATGACAAAATAACTCAGGCTTTGGAAGGAAAGTTAATTTATTATATGTGATAGCTACTAAAGTCTCCCTATGCCCTTGATCTGCATCTATATGTGTGTGATAAGTCAGCTTGATTATCCAAGGCATGGATGGAAATTGAGCTATCATCAAGCTATCTTCTGATTTGCGTGGGTGTTGGAATTTTATCTTTGGGGTTTAGTGGAAAGAACCTCAGGCTCAGAGTCAGGAAACCTAAGTCCCAGCCTCTGTTATTAAATCATTATGTGATCTTAGGCAGGTCTCTAAAGGTACTTTGGGTCTCAGTTTCTCCATTTGTTAGTGCCGGAAGCTGAACTCTTGCAGCTGTCTTATTCTAGGATTCTGAGATATTTACGGTTATGTTTCTCTCTACTTTGGAGGGTACTCACTGACACCCTGTGGAATGAGAAAGAGAGATCCATGTACCAAGATCCCTGGACCAGAGAGATGGTGATAGGAACAACTGAGCCTTCCTTACTCTCTGTACTCTGCAAGCCCTATAAGGAGATTGACTATTGGCTTCATGCTCTGTCAGTCCTCCTTTACTTACAGCTGGGCCTATGTGGCCTCCAGATGTTGGCCATCATCCCCACTCCACCCCATTCAGCAAGGCTCTGAGCCCTATCCTGACCATAGTCAAGGGAGATTTGAAGGGTCCAGGGTCATTTAGGCAGTGTAGCTCTAAGTTCTCCTCTGATTCTGTGCCTCAGTCCTAATAAATAGATTCCTGATGGTTTCCTTTGACCGATCCCTGTCCTTCTCCTTCACATGCAGGTGCTCATTCCTTGTCTGTTTCCTATACTTTTTTTTTTTTTAAACTAGAGAACCTGTCTGAATTAGCTTCATGCTTGGTATCCTTTTCTTTTGCAGATTGGAATTTTGTTGCATTTTTTAGTATTCTTCAGGTCCGAGCTTGGCCACTGCAAGAACACTCTGGATTTGCCCATCAGCCTGTCCGAAGAGATCTCTGTCTATGGCTCGCATCTGAGACTCAGTGATGCCTCATAGCCCACTCTGAAGCACAGCCCCTTGTTGCTTACTGCTGTTTTTTACTAAAGCTGCTGCCTACCTTGCCTGGACCTCATTATCAGGCCCTCTTAAGGTATGTTCCTTTTCCTTTCTGGGGACATTGCCGGTTGCTCACTTCTGGACCATCCTGACACTGGCTATTAGCCTCTACTTCTCACATCTCATTGGAGACCTTACCCTGGAGAGCCCTCCAGGGCCTGCCTGGTCTCGGGGGTTTGGATCTCCCCAGGCTGGTCTATCCCATCCCTGGCCAGTTTCCAGTTACTGTCTACAGAGTCTTCATGGGCATTCCTTGGGCCAGATTGCCCTACCTGAGCCCATCTCAGAATGGAAGCTACTGTGTCCAGACTCATCCACTGTGTGCCTGTTAACAAAGCCTTCCAAGCAAACAGCCTGTGCAGTAAATGACTTTCGTAGGCTAAATTCAAGTTGAAATTCTAAGGTGGACGATGAGGGAGAATTTCTGTATCTCTGCAGCATAAAATAGGGAGAAGGGATGCTGTTGGGAAGTTTTGAGCCAGCAAGAGATAATTAGGTGAAAGGCGAAAAGTACGTTTGTGATCTTTTTGGAAGCAAAGTTAACATGTGAATATCTATGGTGACATCATTGTTACTAGCTGGTAGCCTAGTAGTATTCAGCTCCTTGCAAAGGTGCTTCTAGTTTAATGACATTACCCAGAGGTCCACCCCCCATAGCAGGGGCATGTGCTCTGGCTAGCTATGTGCCCTGGTGCCGAGGACTTACTCTTTCTGAACCTCAATTTCCTCATCCACCAAATGAGGCTTTGTACAGATAATATCTTTGCTCATTTATAAGCTCTCAGGGTGGTGTCAAGAATACCAGTTAGTGTGAAAGTGTTTTACAAACTGTAACATATCATACAGATTATCCGGTTTTCCTTTCCAGATGGGCGGGGGCCACAGACATGGAACCTGTTGCTCAGTGTTGGTGGACAGCAAAGATTAGTATCAGTGTCCTGAGGGAATAGCAGGTCAGAAATAAGGCAAACAGCCTGATATGGAGCCAGATGAGACGAGGGAGACAGTCCACAAAGCTGAGTGCTTTGGGGAGCCAGCAATGCCGATGCATGGGGAAGCTTGAAGGAGAGGAATTTCCTGAGTGGAGAGGAATTTCCTGAGCTAGAGTACAGGGGCTACTGACTTCTTTTTGTTTGGTGCCTGCTGTTGCTGCTCTAGCAGCTTAGACTGAAGCTATTTTGGAAGCAGTGAATAGAGTAGAAGAGCAGACCAAATCGAGGGCCTATTCTCATAAGATCTGCCAGGATTTAAGGACCAGGGAAGGGGCACAAGGCCATTATCAGCCAGCCCAAGTTAAACCCAATTCAAAGGAGAATAATAAGTGGCCTGGGTGACCAGCAAAGGCAAGCCACGTTTGGACACTGTGCTGATTAATATGTGTCAACTTGGCTAGACTATGGTACCCAGTTGTTTGGTCAAACAAAGTCTAGGTGTTGCTGTAAAGGAATTTTTTTAGATGTTATTAACATTAAAATCAATTGACTTTGAGTAAAGCAAATTGCCCTCCATAACGTGGGTGAGCTCATCCAATCAGTTAAAGGCCTTAAGATTAAAGACAGGATTCCCAAAGAAGAAAGAATTCAGCCTCAAGGCTATATCACTGAAACCCTTCCTGAATTCTAGCCTGTGGGGCCTACCCTGCAGATTTTGGACTCAAGACTGCAACATCAATTCTTACCTGAATTTCTAGTCTATTGATCTGCACTACAAATTTCAGACTTGTCAACCCCTACAATTATGTGAGCCAATTCCTTAAAATTTCTCTCTGTCTCTCTCTCCATATATCTATATCTATATCTGTAGATATATACCCTGTTGGTTCTGTTTCTGTGGAGGATCACATCTGAAACAGACACCTTGAAGATGGCATATAGCTTACAGGAAAGGCAATTGAAAGATCCTGGAGAGCCTTCTGAATTTATTTACCAACATTTTCAGTTGGTTACAGTGTAGTAATTGAATCCATACTATGTCTACTAAGTAAGTATCTATTGTGCCATGGAGGTTGGTTGGCAGGACCTCCATCAACTCAGATCCCTGAGAGGACAACCCACAGCCTGAGTGGAAGACCCGCACTTTATGGCAGAGAAGCTTTACTGCCCTGAAGAGAGCACTGAAGGCTGAGCGTCCTCTACCTGGAGCTTAGAGATCTGACTAGAGAGGGCCTCCAGCTCTGCCAGGTTGCTAATGGGGCCAAGAAGGACTTCTGCGGGTCCTCTCACTCAGACTTAATAGAGTCAGCATCATTGAAAGTTGGTGTTCATCTGGTCTGACTCCTCAGTGTACAGATGGGGAGAGTGAGCCCAGGAGAGGAAGGATCGCTTTACAGCAAGTTAGTGGCACAGCCAGGCCAGCATTCAGATCTCTAGATCAGGGGGTCCTAACCCCTGGGCCATGGACTGGTACTGTCCGTGGCTTGTTAGAAACCAGGCCACACAGTAGGAGGTGAGCAGCAGGAAAGTTAAGCTTCATCTGTATTTGCAGCTGCTCCCCAGCGCTAGCATCACTGCCTCAGCTCCACCTCAGATCATCAGACATTAGTTGCTCATAGGAGCACCGGTCCCCAGTGCCAGAAAGATTGGAGACCGCTGCTCTAGATGACAGGGCAGGAAGAGAAGAAAAGAGAAGGAAAGAAAAAGTTCGTTTGATAAAGAGAAGTGTAGATTCCCACTGCACTTTTTCTATGGGCCATTCGGTGAGTAATTATCCCAAAGGAAGCATCCTATTTTTCACAGCTGGATAGAAAGGAAGGAAAATAGAAGAGTCTGAAAATTAAAGTGATATAAAATAGAAAACATTTATAAGGGCTGTCACTGCTAAATCACAAAATTGAAGATGAGCAGTATAAATGGGTTTCATTGAAGAGCAAATTAGCTGTCCTGTGGAGTTCTCTAATAGCAAGAAAGCCACTGCACTTGGTCCAGCCATCTTGGCCAAAGAGTGTTCACCCTTGTTAAAATAAAGGTGCACTTTGATTGCTTCTGGACCAGCTCTCCATATTTCTCCCCACATTTGCTCAGGAATTTGGTTATGTCCCATGAGCATACCGAATTGAATTGATCAATGAAAATGGCATATGCGTTCATTTGTTTTAACTTGATTCTGATAGCTTCATCCATTAAACTTACAATGAAGTTGTAATTCTTTTTAAAAATATAAATTAAAAAACCTCCTGGCAATTCATAATCACTTTAGAATACATCAGGATGAATTCGTAAAGGTGATTCCTTTGCATTCAGTATTGCTGCTTTGTGCCTATGTTTTCCACTGATGATTTAGTAGTATAAATCCCCCTTATACATCATTGAAAGTGTTAGGATTTATACGGTGGAATATAGTATGCATTAGTCCTTCTAGAAAAGAGTGGATGACCTAGTAGAGTTTTATACCTTTAATTCCTACCGTTGTTTGTGGAATGGCATTTCGTAATGAACCATTGTATTTGGGAAAGCAGTGTTCTGCAAATAGCATAGATTATAACCAATATGGGATATTTTACTGTGCTTTCCATGGCGTCCCTCGGCTTCTCACTAAGATACATCCTCACAGCAAAGCATCTTTCATGGCCAAAGGAGAACATTAACCTCTGTTCTGCCCCTTCCCTATTGGGAGCACAGCACAGCTCTGATCAGCTCCTTAAAGGCCCTTTTTTTTACACTCTCTTGTAGATCCGCAGACAGTAGTTGCAAAGCATATTGGAACCTTGGCCAGTGGCACTCCTGAAGTCGGGAAGGTCATCATCAGCTCTTTCCTTTGGTAGCTTTCCTTCTATTTTTTTTTCTTTTTTGAGGTAGTGAAAACTGCTCCAAGTTGCTTCTGTGATCTCTGATTCTCCCCTTCTTTTTATATCCTTTTCTCCTTTCTCATATACCCACTGATGGAGCGATTGAATAACTTTCATTCATTCATTCAAGCATTTACTGAGTCCTGCTTCATGCAAAGCACTGTGCAATGTTCTGAGTTTTTAGAGTTATTCTTTTCCAGTGGTGATGTTCCTTTTAAAATTATAAAAGTAATACATATTCGTGGTAAAAATACAAACAGTGCAAAAGGATGTAAAATGAAAAGAAGAGCCCCTTCAAGCCCCTAGTCTCACTCCTTTGGCATATTCATCAGTAACAATTCCTTGTGTGTCTTTTCAGAACTTTTCTATGCATGTAATAGTGTGCATGTACATTCATGCATATATTTATGCATACACAGGTACATATCTGTACATACATGCTTTTTCAGGAAACACTAATTGGGACATGCTAAAAGCAATTTTGTGCTTCTACTTCCATGTACATCTTGGTCTGCTTTCCATGTCAGCACATGTAGTCTGCTGATTCACTTTAAGACCGCATGGTTGAAATGTGACTTTAGGAAAGCCCTGAGATTTTGATGAGTTTTCTGTAGAGGGCACTACAGATCACCAATTTTGAATGTATAAACTCAATTTTCATTCACTGTCCTCGGGTTTCTTTTGCTTTTCCTTTATATTGGGGACATAGTTATGTATTCTTTCTCTTTTTTTAATGCCCACAGCACCTGGTATTCCTAGGTGGTCTCCCATCCAAGTACTAACCAGGCCCGACCCTGCTTAGCTTCTGAGATCAGATGAGATCAGACACGTTAAGGGTGGCATGGCCTTAGACTAGTTATGTATTCTGATACTTGAAGGATTCCAATGGCTTGCAAATAGTTTGGGCAAAAGTTAAAAGTAGCTTGATCAGTTTCCTTCCCCACATACCAGGTATCTACTCTGGCCTTGGACCACTCTCAAAGTAGCTCCCCAGTCTCCAGAGCTTGTCCCAGTACTTGATGACAGTTTCTTTTCTCCTTTTCATAAGTTTTCTGTAGTGTCAGCCTACATTTTCTGGTCTGGCCTCATTGACTATAAAGTTCTTGCTTATTTGGACATACCGTATCCTCACTGGTTTTCATTTGCCCATGTGCAATGTGACTCCTCTCTCAAAAATCTGCTAATTCTATGTCACCCTTATTTGAGCATTTACTATACGTTAGATATTGTGAGCCTCGTTTCTTTTATTCCTCACAACAAACTCATGAGGGAGGTGCAGTAATTCTCCCCAAATGATACATGAGGCACAACCTTCTAGGGTCAGATAAACTTGGGTTCAAATTTCAGCACTTCCACCTACTAGCTGTGTGACCTTGCACAATGTCCTTAACCTTTCTGTGCCTCTTGTGTCATTTGGGGATAATTACTGCACCTCCCTCGTGAGTTTTATGAGGATTGAAGGAAGTGAAGCTCACAATATCTAATGTACAGTAAATGCTCAGATAAGTGAGCTGGCTTTTAACCAGCATGTGTACTGTCTCCCTTAAGTCACCAAGTGCTTGTTGGCTGGCCAGTCATAACAGAGCAGCCCTAGCCTTTCTGTGAGCCTGTGATTCTCTAAGGGCAGGCCACAACAGCCACTCCCTGACTCTGTGCAGCATGACAGGCTCCGCAGGAGGGTCCTATTGAGAGTTCTCTCTTGCTGGAATAGCATTTTCTTACACACTAAACCATGGGAAAGTTTTTTATGGGGAGGAAAGGGGAGGACTTCCTGCTTATAATTCGAGCTGAGAAGAGATTCCCACTTTGTGAAGCTCCACAGTCCTTCCTGTAAAATGCTCTTATAAGACCTCAGGCAGAATCAGCAGCTGTTGGGCATTTTTGTTTCATCTCTTCATGCTCCACCTCAGAGATACAGATTTACAACCCTACTTTGACCTAAAACAGCAACATACAAGAGAAACTGGTCTTTTATTTGCCAAATCAGAGTTCTCCAGTTTCTCTATCAATTCTGCTGCCCTAGGTATTCCTTTGTGAATTCAGGTTTATCTGAATGAGGTATCTAAGAGAAGCACATGGTAACTAGATGATTTCTATCCCAGTCTCTTTCTTTCCCTGGTCTCCAATCCTGATTCTCCAACTGCCTTGCCTTTATGCTTTAGGGATTCATAATCAGGATATGGTCATGGCCCAGTTGCTGAATTGGGCATTTCTGAGTCTAGAAGAGAGGTCATTCCAGATGTTAGGAAAATGCCTTTTATTTCTTCAGCGTCTGGTAGAAATCGAATGGTTGGAAGAGTGTTTTGTTTGTTTACTTACTTATTTTCAAGTTTTTACTTTTATTCTGTTTTATTCCCAGCACTAGAAAATAAACCTGAAAATCTGGAAAGGGAAAGACCAAACCAATAGTAATTGCTCTGGAATTGTGGGACTTTTTCAGTAATAAATGTCTAGATGATGTGTTTATTCCAGTTCCAATCCAATTGAATTCAACAAATATCTGTTGAATGCCTGCTGTGGAAAAGATAAAGAATGAGTAAGACATGGCTCTCACCCTCCAGGAGTTCACAGTTAACAGGGAAATCAACATATACACTGTTAATTCTCATCCAAGGAAGACAATAATAAAGGTATATATAGAAGTTTAAACAAGGTGCTATGGGAGTATTGGAGGAGTGAAAAAAAACTTTAATTAGGGAATCTGGAAAGATTGTTTTTGAGAAAAGAAGGTTTTGAGCATGGTCTTAAAGAATTGATGAGACTATTTATAGGCAGACATTGAGGTTTAGGCTGAGGAGCCACTCACTCTCTCTCTGGGTATGAGAGCAGAGAATGACGATTGGTCTGTTAGGGCAGACAGCGGTAGGAAATACAACTGGAAAGGTACGGCTGATGCAATTTATGAAGAACCTTGATATAGGCTTAAGGGTTTGGACTTGCTCTGTAGACTAAAGAAGTCTTAGATTAGCACCCCCACCCCAAATCATAGAGGAATCTCTTCCCTATCATCACAGCCTCTGGGTGTTTCACAGTGGTCTCTGTACAGATGCTTTCCAGTTACACTCATATTCATTTGATGAAGATTCTCTATGTGAGAAATACTCCACTTTAAAAAACATGTCACATGGGATTGATTTAAATGGTCCCAATATTATCAATCATGCATTTAATTTATTTCTCTCCCCAGTAGTGTATGTACTTTGATTATATTGACTAAGATTACAGTCCACGTTGATATAACCCAAGAGTAATTATTGATGATCTAGGTGGTATTGCATTTGAAATTTATCCTACTCTGTCTTCAGTTCCATTCATTTTGAGCTTATACTAAACCAGTTCTAACTGTTCCATCAGGTGGCTCTTTTACTGGCTCTATTTGTTGTCTTTCTCTGGTGTTCCTAGAATGACAGATTAAATTATATCAGATGCTTCTCTCTCTAAGATATGTTAACTTTGCACCATCCTCTTTTACCATTCAGCCTGTCATCCTATCACAAACAGGCATTAGCTTCATTTGGCATGATTTGTGTTTGAAGAATCCATATTAACTACTGTTTATCACTCAGGTTTCCCCTAGGTACTCATAAATGACTGCCTTAATAATTGTCCTCACAGCTTACCAGATATTGAAATTAAATTTATGAGTTTAATTCCATGAGTTCCCTGGGGATTTCTTTTAAAGAAAAATGGAACAAGGCAGTTTCATGACTCATAGCAACTCTTCCATAATAAACCAGTGTGATTAAAAAAAAAACATTTTGCAAGGAAACAAATTTCAGTTTTAGCCTTCCAAAATGATTATTATAAAAGTTAACAAATAATAAGATGTTCTGAAATACTAAAAGACATCTTGTGTTCTTTAAAACTCTGTATTTACTGCACTTACACATATTCTTAAGGGCCACAACAGATGACTAAAAGTGTTAATCCACTAGTTTATAGTCCTTTGTGAAATTTGGTCTTTTTATATTCAAATTATTGCCCACTTTATATTCAAAAATAGCCCAATAATGGCACTTTTTAAAGGTTATTTTGTAAGTGCTGTCAGTCAGGCATATGCTAAAGTACTGTTTCAGGTTTTTGAGATAAACTTGCCTGCCAAAATTGTGGTTAACTATTTTATAACTGAATCATAATGCACAGACCTGAGACCTGAGTCTTCTCTTCACTGAGTGCAGTGCGGGGAGAATTGTAAGTAGGCTGTAGATGGACCATAGTTACCTCTAAAATTTGTGACTGACTGGGAAAGGATTGATGTACATTTGATAGCCAATGTAGGATGCCTCGAAAAGGAGGGATGCATAGAACATTCAGTGAATGTTCTTGGTCAAGTTTAGATGTCTATAATTGCCCAGCCAAGACTGCCTGCTACTCTAGGTAGGAATGTGTGGAACGACTGGTTGACATCAGTCATAGTAGGAAATTAATCAGTTTTCTCCAACTGAAGCAGTGAAGAGCAACATGCTGATGCAATAGTCCCCCTTTTCTTAACATTCCATAGGAAAGTGGTCAGACGGCGCCTCCTCTTTGAGCCATCACCAGTCCCCTTCCCAGTGACTTGGTCCAAGAGGCAAATTATGTTTAAAAGCAATTTGGTGGTGTCATCTTTTTTCATTAGGTATGGCAGATATTCTGGAAGCTCTGTCATGGTGCATTTTGCTTTGGTGCCTGTCACGACTATAGTGCATAGGTTTTTTACTTGTTCATATGAATGTTTTTATTTCAGAAACTGATGTCTAGGGCCATGAAGCAGCTGAGCAGTGGGAAAATCCTCCACTATGCAATCATGGTCTGGGATAATATTTAGGAAGAGAGAACATGCATAAGTTACCTACCAACCTGACGGAAATGGATTCCAAACCTGGCATACCATGCCTCACTCTTCACCAGTGTGCTCCTGAAAGAGAAGCCCATGGTGAGCAGTTTAGAGTTTGTTACTGGGAGGGAAACATTGGGTTTCAGGAGAAAGTATTTAGATGGCATTTTAAGAAGCCATTCCTTTTTTTGGTAGAGTAGAAAAATCTACCTCTGAGCCTGTGGTGTGATCTTTTTCTCTAGATGAACACGATGACTATCTCTCGTGCATTTTTCTGATATTTATTCTGCAAATCAGCTGCATGAACCCCTGCCACTCTCCTGAATAAGCTTCCAGGCATTACGTGCATGCTGTGTTCCTGTGGAGGGATGGCAGTAATCTCTGCTAAGATAAACTGGAGCTTCTGTGGATAAAGCATAAACACAGTGAAGTGTGTATGGCTGGAAGATTTAATGCCTCTACAGGTAATTTTTTTTGGAGGGAGGATCTGGCATTTAATCAAATCCAGAGTCATTATGTAAATTTAATCACCTTGCAACACACTAGTAATTTTATTATCTCCTTTTCACTTGACAGTGCTTAGATACAAGTTGGGTTTGGAATTCCAGAGGTAGAGCACTCTGATTGGAGGCATATTAAGGAAAAGGTACTGTGGAAATGAGATAAAAACTTTATTCTTGCTATTGATTGTCATCTTTGTACATGTACAGATGTCCAACAATGGGTTTTTACAATGAAGTGTGAAGATTTAAAGATTTCCACCTTTCATAAAGCCCCCAATAATTTGCAAAGAACCTATTTTGAATGGACTATGTTAAATCTACTCCTGTCATATAGAAAACCTTAGCACTGAATGAGATGTGGTTCAAACTCGCCCTAACACAGGGGCCTCCTTCACATTTGCGTAGCCCATTTTGATGTGGCCACTGGTTACTAGCATGATGTCTTGTGTTGGATTATTTAAGCCATAAGATCTATTTAAAGTTAAAGACAGTATTTCCATTCATCAACACCAGCTTCAGTAGATGTTTAAAAGGTTCATTGGGGTTGATGATCCTGGATAGACATTATCCATCACCACATCACTGTTCATATTATGAGGCTGAGGAAGAAAAAACCTGGTTAAGTTGGATTTCCCAAAGGGCACTTGGGTTTTTGACATTGTGATTCACACTAATGATAGTGTCTTAAAGTAATGAAGCTAACTACTTACAGAGTGAAATTAGAAAGGAGGGAAGAGGGAAGACATGATAAGATGTTGAACTAAACTCGCTAAGGCAGAAGAAATGGCATTTGGGGTATCTTTTCTTCCACTTCTCTGTTTCACTTTCCCCATTTTTTCTTATCTCTTAACCTGAAAGAAACTCTTGAGAATATCCCTTCTCCTGTGGACAAAAACTCCATGAGCTCCTCCATCCATATGCTGGAACATGGAGGCCCCTAGTCAGCCAGGCAGCCTGGAAGACATCATCATCTGATGTCTTCCTTGGTGTATCTTGCAGAAATGGAAGCCAACAACTCAGGGAAATGCCCCTAATTTGGGTACAATTCAGATGACCAGGTTTCCCCTACCTAGAGTGCTACTTATTCCAGTGAAAACTTTTCTTTTTTTTTCTAAAACTCCTCATTAACTCCATGAATCATAACATGGCCTCATACCAAGAAATCAAAATGGCATAACTTGGATTAAGATTGAAGCGCTTTACTATCCAATTTCCCATCAAGCTTATTTGTTCTCTGTTTACTACCGATACCTCAGCTTTCTCTTCCTAAAATGACTGTAATAATCACTACCTACTCTAAGGGTTGGTATAAGGATTCAGTGAGACACGGATATGAAAGTATCCAGCTCTAGGTCTGGCCCAGAGTACATGCTCAGTGAGGGCAGGTTGAATCAGAATGATCTTATGCTTAGGAGTCTAAAGGGCTGACTTTTGAGAGGTATTTATATATATATATTAGATACAAGTTCTTTGTGAGATACGTGGTTTGAAAATATTTTCTCCCAGTCTATAGCTTGACTTTTTTATTCTTTTAACAGTGACTTTCACAGAACAATACTTTTAAATTTTGATGAAGTCCAATTTATCAACTTCTTTTTTATAGCTCATGCTTTTGGTGCCATATCTAAGAACCCTTTACCTAACTCAAGATCATGAAGATTTTCACCTATTTTTTTTTCTAAAAATTTTATAGTTTTATGTTTTACATTTGGATCAATTATCCACCTCGAATTGATTTTCGTATAATGTGTGAGCTTTAGGTCAAGGTTACATGTTTTACCTATGGATGTAAAATTATTTCAGCACCATTTGTTGAAAATACTATCTTTTCTCCATTGAATTGCTTTCACCTTTGTCAAAAATCAATTGGCCATATTTATGTGAATCTATTTCTGGACTCTGTTCTGTTTCATTGATCTGTTGTTCCTTTCCTTTGCCAATACCACACTGTCTTGATTACTGTAGTTTTACAATAAGTCTTAAAATCAAATAGTGTTATCCTTCCAACTTTATTCTTTTTCAAAAAAATTTTAGCTCTTTTAGTTCCTTTGCTTTTCAAATAAATTTTACAATCTACTTACCTGAAAATATAAAAAAGTTCTGTTGGGATATTGATTGGAATTGCATTAAATCTGTAGATCAGCTTGGGAAGAATTGACACTTTTACTGTTTCCTTCAATCCATGAACACAGTATCTCTCTGTATTTAGATATTTTAAAAATTTCTTTCATCAGTGGTTTATGGTTTTCAGTATATAGTGTCTGTACACATTTTGTTAGATTTACACTTAAGTATTTTATTTTGTTTGAGCTATTGTAAATTGTATGTGTTTTTTTTTTCAAATTTTAGTTTCCATTATTACATTGGGAGTGTATAGAAGTATGATTGATTTTTGTATGTTGAACTTGTAACCTACCACCTTAATAAACTTACTATTTCTAGGAAGATTTTTTTCGGTAAATTCCTTGGGATTTTCTGTGTAGACGGTTAAGTTGCCTGCAAATAGAATTTTATTTCTTTCCAATATTTATGCCTTTTATTTATTTTTCTTACCTTATTGCATTGGCTAAGACCAGTATGATGTTGAATTGGTGGTGAGAGAGGATGCTTTGCATTGCTCTTGATCTTAGAGAGAAATAACTTAGTCTTTTGCCATCAAGTATGATGTTATCTGTAGTTTTTTGGAGATGCTTTTTACCAGGTTGGGGAAGTTTTTCCTTCTATTTCTACTTGCTGAGAATTTTTTATCATTAATTTATGTTGACTTTTCTCAAATGCTTCTTCTGCATTAATTGGTATAATCATGTAGTTTTTATTCTTTCGACTGTTAATATGGTGAATTACATTGATTGGTTTTTCTATTATTGAACCAACCTTCTAATCTCATGATAATTTCAGTTGACCGTGATATATTATTTCTTTATATATTGATGGGTTTCATATGATGATATTTGTTAAGAATTTCATGTCTGTATTCATGAGGGATATTAGTTTATAGTTTACTTTTCTGGAACTTTTTGTCTGATTTTGGTATCAGGATTAGGTTTGTCTCATTAAATATGTTGGGAAGCATTTTCTTTTTCTATTTTTTGAAAGAGATTGTGTAGAACTGGTGTTATTTCTTCTTTAAATGTTGTGTAGAATTTGCTAATGGAATCATCTGGGCCTGAAGATTTTTTTCCAGAAGTTTTCAACTACAAATTCAATTTTTTTAATGATTATATAATTGTCCAGTTTATCAATTTCATCATGGGTGAGTTTTAGCAGTTAGTGGTATTTAAGGACTCATTGCCTTTTTAATCTTTACTCTGTGAAGTAGGCAAGACAGATAGTCTTAGCTCACTGCTCAGAACAGTTCCAAGTACATAGTAGAAGCTTAGTTAATATTGATAGGATGAAATTGGTAAATGAACTCCATTTAACAAATGTGGAAACAAAGGTTCAGAGTAGTGAAATGACTTGTTCAAAATTATTTTGTTCATAAATGGCAACACCAGGACTCAAACTCAAAAACAAAAATAGCTTTTGAAGAAGAGAAAATGAGAAGGGAACTAATTCAGCATCTATTTTGTGCTAGACATTGCTGGGTGTTTTCATATAATATGTCTCGTTTAAATTCCGACAACAATCCTGTGATATAGGTGTTGCTGTTTCCATTTTAAAGTCGAAAGAAGTAAGGCTCTTTATTAGTCAGGGTCCTAACAGGAAACATATGGCACACTCAAACTGGGATAGTTTGAGGAGGGTTTAGTTAAAGGACTATTTACGAGGTCAGCAGGGTGTAGAGAAACCACAAGGGCTAGTATAGTGAGGCTGTTACCCCCACCACCACCACCGCCCAGGCCCAAAGGGATGAAGAAAAGGAGAATCTAGAGAGAGAACATATAGATGGAGAGACCTCTAAGCAGGTAGCTTTGAGATGAACAGTGGTCTTTGATCAAGGGACATTGCTAACTCCACACAAGGTGATTTCATAGGTGGAGGGTGAACAGCTAAGAGAAAACTACACTCTTCTCCCAGTAATTAATCACTGGCCAAAGGTCATTTCTGGCCAGACCCTACCGGAAGCCCAGAGGCCAGTGAAGCCTGTTGGTATAATCCATACCAGTCAGTTTCCTGGGGAGGAAAGCAGGATAGAGACTGAATCTGGAGAATAAAGAGGTTAAGTAACCTGTCGAAGATCACACAGCAACCTGGTAAGAGGCAGATCTAGAATTCAAATTCCAAGGCTCCAGTTTCTGACACTGCACTTGTCCATCTTCCCCAGGGGACTGGCTTTCAGGGCCAAAGTATTAGAAAAGGACCTTTGATAAATCCCACAATGTGTATATGTTCTCATTTCATTTCTCCGTGACCTGCAATGTAAATGCAGCTATGTTGGTATCATAAATTAGCATTAAGGTACTGGGAAAGAGAATGTTAGGAGGTGAAAGGAGTTCTTTCTGCCTGAGCGAGGAGCCAAGAAAGGTGATGAAAGTTAGGGGAGAGGACATAAGAACCGAACCATGAGCAGGCCAAAAGCAAGCAAATTAGGCTAATATTGACTGAGTGCTTTCTATGTGCCAAGTACAGAAGTCGACAGAGGTTAAAGGGTTCTGAAAAATCAAGTTTGCATAAAAAGGAAAGAAGCCCTTTGAGGAGTTTGTGTCATTCTGGGGCACTAGAGGTGAGAGGATTTGTGCATTCTGACTCTGGAATTCAACTGATAAAGCACTGGATGGAGGCCCAGATGGCTGTCTTGAGCAGCTCGAGGTCCTTGCTAAGAGCCCAGCCTGCTGGTGGGTGAAATAAGTAAGAGTAGAAGGAGGCGAGAGAAGTGGCCTCCATGACTTAGCTGACACCTGCAATTTGCTTAGGTGTGTATAATCTGTATCTTAAAACCCCTCACATTGGGCAAGGCAGGCCACTATGCAACCAGCAACCACTGAAGTGGGGCTTTGGGCTGAGAGACAGACCGTCTTCAAAACTGAGGGTTAGACCTCCCTGCTTCCCTGCTGTGATCTCTATAATAGCAGCCTCAGGCAGCAACACCCAGTCTGGTCTACCTCCTCTCAGTGTCTCTATCTAACGTTTTCTGTGGGGGCTCTGGTTGCATGGGAACTGGTTTGAGCAAGACTACCTTGACCACCAACTCTTACAGTAT